CATGCTCTCTCACTGCTTCACTGACGACCGTGTATTTAGTGAAACATAATGCACTTTTTGCACCCCAGATAATTTTGGTCAAAAAAATTTTTTTAACAGCAAAGATTTCCTTTGATGCTGGAGTAAGGTAAATACTGTGAGTCATAAATGATTACATGGACTTACTGTGCAACTCTTGAAATCATAAAATGCAAGTGGATCCATGAGTTAGCAATGAAGTCATCCTTTGATTCATCAGCAATCAGGTGCATCTGATTGTATACATCATAATATCAAGGAATACTTGCTGATTTTGAGTTGAAGATTGGGGCTTTTCTTGGTTGCAGTCTCAATGTCTGCTGAGCTGCATTGCTCTACATTTTTATCAGAGACTCTGGTGTTTTCTTATTCATCTGAAGTTTTTTGCTTCTTGAAAAAAGTTATGAATATTCCTAGTTAACCTGAGGTGGAAAATACATTTAAATAATTTTTTTTTTTTACAGTGGGATCAGCCAATGGAGCTATGCTGATTTTCACCAGCTGAGGATCTGGCCTTTTACATATTAATCTGACAATTTATAAAGCTCTATGGAGATGAATGATTGGTAAGGCAGAATGACCTATACTCAAATATCAATGGAGGCACTGGTATTGCAACCCCTCACAGTTTTATACTTAATTTTAATTATGCTACAGTATTTATGTCTTTAAGGGTGCATCTACATTGCACCATTATTTCAAAATAACGGCTGGTATTTTGAAATAACCCCTTACCAGGGCCATTCTAAGTTATTTCTCACCAGTGCCTTCTGGGGCTCTAAATTGAGATAGCACGTCTGTATTAGGGAAGCCTGCCGTGGACTAATTTTTTGGCTTCCCTGCAGTGTAGACGTGCTATTTTTAAATAAGCTATTTTGGAATAACTATTCCAGACTAGTTTATTTCAAAATAGTTGTACAGTGTAGACATACCCATAATTCACATAACATGCATATAGGGCATGTTACAAAAATTACAGTCAAAATCTTCTCCCTCCATCTGCCAACCCCATTAAATCTTGTCTGTGCCTCTGGAGTCATAATTCAGCCCTACTAAAATCCATCTTTCTCTACCTTCTTTCCAGCCAAGGTCACCAGCTCAAATGCTCCTCCCCCAGTTCTATATCTGCCCCTAAAATTTCCATATTATATCCTAGGAACTCCCCTCCCTGCCAGTTTCCACACTTATCCCCTTGCCTCATTCCACACATTCCCTAAGAACAACCCCATCATGTGAGAATGTCCTCACCCCCGTTTTGGCTGGAAATCACTATAGCAGCTGAGCATAGCAAAATACATATCTCATGGCAGAATTACAGGCAGCCAGCGAACAGGAATGGGCACCAAGAGGTAACTGGCAGAGATATCATTGAGGAGCAAAAAAATGTGGGAGGGAGAGAAGGGGAGGCAGCTCTCCCATGTTCCCCAATTTGTAAGGCCTTTGGATGACTATAGAGAAAAAATTGTAAAAGATAAGCTAATATTGGGGAAGGTGGAACATACTGTAGAATCAGCAGAATGGCAATGGCATGCAAAGATCTCACCCACAATCCACTGGTGTGTAATGCTCACACTTGCAAAAGCCACAGCACATCTACAGTGCATATTATACTCTCAGTGGCAGCAACTGTAATAAAAGTACATATCACTATTTGTGTTTCAAATGCCTTTTTTCACATTTGACGTACATTTTAATGGAAAATTCAATTCCAAATTGGAGCAGGGAGTCATTGTCTCTTACTCCACTTTCATGTGCAAATAACCCTGTCCTGTTATTTAATTTGGTAAGTCTCTCAGACATTTTTCAGATACTCCTCTGGATGCTGGAAGATTAGCATCAAAATTAAAACCATTTTTCTGACACTTTCACACCAATGTAGAGAATTCAAATAAAGTGGGACCCAAAGACCAATGTTCTCTAAATAACCAACAACAATACTCTGTTTCCCCACAGGCAAGGGCATTTGATTTAGGCTTTTCTTGCCTTGCCAAAAATTGGCCTAAAGGGCCAATATTTACCACCAACCCAGCATGGTTTTATCAAACACATCTAGACGCTTTTGTTGAGTCCAGGAATAATTTTCTATTTAATATATTCTGTCCATTTTTTAGTCCAGTGATGTGGTTAAATTCTTGTCTTTCAAACTCCGAAGGAGGCTGATTTATAGGTAATCAGAATTAAATGGGCCAAATCCTGCTCAGAGATGAATCACTAACAAACCCAGTTTCATGCCATTTAAATTTAATCCAGATTTACACAAGTGCAAATGATTGAACAGTTTGTCCAATACTTATAAGAAGAGTAGAAGATGTAGTAACTATGGAATAACAAAGGAAGACTCAATTTTGAGTGAAAGTTATGAAGGGCGAAGTTTATTCCCTGAACCACAGTAACCCTGTCTTTTATTGTAGACTGACTGGCTGTGTCTAGACTGGCCGGTTTTTCCGAAAAATCAGCCGCTTTTTTGGAAAAACTTGCTAGCTGTCTACACTGGCTGCTTGAATTTGCGCAAAAGCACTGACTTCCTGCTGTAAGAAATCAGTGCTTCTTGCGGAAATGCTATTCTGCTCCCGTTCAGGCAAAAGTCCCTTTTGCGCAAAGCTTTTGCACAAAAGGGCCAGTGTAGACAGCTCAGATTTGTTTTCCGCAAAAAATCCCCGATTGCGAAAATGGCGATCGAGGCTTTTTTGCGGAAAAGTGTGTCTAGTTTGGCACGGACGCTTTTCCGCAAAAAGTGCTTTTGCAGAAAAGCGTCCATGCCAATCTAGACGCTCTGTTCCGAAAATGCTTTTAACGGAAAACTATTCCATTAAAAGCATTTCTGGAAAATCATGCCAATCTAGACACAGCCACCAAGTTTAATAGGCTTTCCTCTAGTTAAAGAAAATCAGCAAAAATCAATTAGCTTTTCCTCTCTTTATTGATTTCTTAAAATATGCTTCTGGAGAGTTCCCATTAACAGTGTAAACAGAACTAAACACTGCAACAGCCAGTCAATGGCAGATATAGGGCAGGGCGAGCGGGGCAGCCATCCCGGGCTCCGCGCTTCAAGAAGCCCCGTGCATGCACCGTGGCAAAGGGGACCCCGTGAAATTGTGCTGCCCTGGGTCCCGCAAAATGGTCATCTGCCCCTGCAGCCAGTCTAAGTGAGACATCAGAAGGAGACTGTTAATCCAGAGCTATTTTATTTATTGACCACTAACAAAGCAGCTCATTTTTATGTAGAAAATCTTGCCCATGAAGAGGGATATTGTAGATATCTGTGAGAGAGTGAACGAGAATATAACAGCATAATAGAATTAGGGGTTTTCCCCCTTTTTCAGCTTACTTATGTACCTATTCAAGATCCAGCCCTGCTCTAACTGAAGTCAATGGGAGTTGTGCCACTGATTTCAGTGTGGACAGGATTAGGCCTTTAGTCATTGCATCTCTGCCAGATTTTATTTCATACCCTGCCAAAATGTCACCACATAAACCAATCCGTATCTTGAATCATTTAAAACTGGATTGAACAAAGCCTTAGAAAATAAAATTTAAGGAACAATTCTGCTCCAGCAAAGAAACTGACTGGATGATTGAATACGTCTTTTTCCATGCCTTTGTGATTCTGTCTTGCTGTATTACACGAGTGGCAACCAGGCACTGTAAAGCATTAACAGACACTCATTCTTTCTGAGTGTTGTGTGAATGTTTCACAAATATCATGCAGTTTAAGCAAGCTGTAAAAATATAAAATCATGATGTCTCTTTCCTATATATTTGTGGACCTCAGTATAGAATTTAAAACATTATTTCAAAAATATAATTGCTGATAATCGATGATTACATCTGTGTTTCATGAAGCCTATTTTTATATCAGTGCAATAAAATTCATCTATCAAATGCATGCATGACTCTTCTGTAGTAACACTTTATTTATAGCTGCTCCCTAGAATATTGATCACAGCAAGAGGATTCAAACTCAGTACCCTTGTCTCCTAAAAAGAAAAGAAAAGAAAAAAAAGTGTGTGGGGGGGTCCCCATCTGCATCTCATAAAGTAGCAGTTTCAATAGTTTATCCAGCAAAGAAAACTGTAATAAACAGTTCTGTTGAAATGTAGCAGAGGATAGTGGTATGTAAATAATTATATCAAATCTATACTGATTATTACAGAATCGGCCACACTGGGTTCAAAATGACTTTGGAAATGCAAAGAAAAAAAAGTGTGTGGGGGGGTCCCCATCTGCATCTCATAAAGTAGCAGTTTCAATAGTTTATCCAGCAAAGAAAACTGTAATAAACAGTTCTGTTGAAATGTAGCAGAGGATAGTGGTATGTAAATAATTATATCAAATCTATACTGATTATTACAGAATCGGCCACACTGGGTTCAAAATGACTTTGGAAATGCAAATTGTTTTAGAACTTGTGACGGGCCGTCACTGACCTGGGGGCGAGACAACTGGAGCCCCCG